TTAAAATAATAATTTCTTATTATACAATCTAATTTTTCTTTTTCTTTTTCTTTTTTCTTTTTTTTGAAGAAGGGTCCTCTAACCCTAAATATCATAAAAGAAAGAAATTACGCCGACCACGATAGTAAGCATGCGCAGATGCCACTTGAGACCTGACTCGTTAGTTTTCGTCAAATAAAACCAGGAACGATCCTTGCTTAAACCCAGAAGAAATTGTTGCCATTATATTTAATCAAACGTACAGCGGCGTGAAAAAGTTGCCGAAACCCTGATGCAACATATGCATATTCTAATGTTTAAGAAATGTTTTTATTGCTGCATGGTAAAACAAGCTTCCATATCAAGAAGATTAAAATACATCAACAAAAGCAAGTCAAGGAAGCTCAAAGTCACTTATTATATATATAATCTCTTTATTTCTTTTACCTAGATATGAACTAAGCATACCAAAATAATTAAAGAAATATTCAAATTACTTCAACTTGTTTCTTGTTTATATGTTCATCTTTGCATTTAGACCAACGAAGAATCACATCAACATAAAACTAATTTTACGTGTATAATCATTAGATTTTTTTTTTCTTTTGTAAAAATTTTCATGGTGTAATATCCAGGGCTGGGCTAAGTACGGCCAGGGGCTGTTGCTTATACTTTTGAGAAAATTTAACAGCACCCTCGATTTTTGAATAAATTCAATGGTAAATTCCACCGCACCAATCCTGATCTTTTCTAGTATAAGACACGTTTTTTTCCTAACCTTTATTTTGTTTAATAAAAAATAATTAATATATTCTTTGATTCAATATAATTTATAATATTTATCGATTTAATTATTAAATTATATAATTTTAATTTTTTAATTTTAATTTTAATTTAAAAATAATAATTTTTTAATAAATATATTATAAAATACATTAAATTATAGCAATTATTATCCTTATTTAGCTTATTCTCTCCTTGGTCGTTTTCGTTTTAATCCTCAAATTCAAGTTTTGGATATATTAAATTATCATTTTATGGGTTAACTTCAGGGTACAAGTTTTGTTTTGGGACTTGTACGTAAGGGAATCATTTTCTTTAAATACACTAGGTCCGAATAGCCTTGGTTTGATGGTGTTGTGTTGTGTTGCATTCTCT